AAGAGTTGAAAGAATCTAAGTTTAACTAACTTATAATGTCCTTGGGGATAGGAATTGGTCTGGTTTATTGTGTATTACCAGTAATTCATGCAATGCCTGTTGTATAGTAAATGATAAACAATTATCTGCCAATTAAATAACTATTAACAAATGATTAGTGACTGAACATTTAGAGTCAACATCTGTGGACCAAACCCTATAAGAATAGAAACTTTGCATAATAAAATATATTTTGAAAAAATGCAGCTCAAATTCTTATCCTGCCAAAGAAGGTTACACTAACCTAAAAAAAATGTCACTTTATTATGCAATGGGTAAAGTGCCTACTCTAGGCCAAGCATCTACATATATTATGTTTATTAATTTGGCTGAAGAAAGAGAAGATGAGCTTATGGAAAACAGTGGCCAAAATCTTACTATAGTTTAACTCCTTGTTGCAAACATCTCTCAAGAAATTTCAGTGGTGAAAAGAATAACAGATGCCCCTTTGGTGAGGACATCTTGGCATGGATCCTTTACGTTCTCTTATTTTGCATGGTTCTCCAGAAAAAGAATATGAGGAGCTCACTAAAATCCACCTGCTCTCTATGAGGGAAAATAATTATAAAAATTACCACTCTGGGAGAACGTACTATGTACCAGGCACAATTCTAGATGCATTACACATATTAACTCACTTAATCCTCATATATGCATACTTACCTATAACACAAGTTAGAAATACAGACAAAATAGATAATTCAAGGTTAACACTACCTCTAAGTTCATTTTGATTATTTATTTATCCTTATCTATCTCTATTCCTATCTCTGTCTCTTTCTAATCTCTACTTCAACCTACCTATATATCTATCCATCTATCTACCATCTATCCATACAGCTAATCTATCTATTGGCAATCCTCACTTTGAATAGCACTTTAGGATTATAAAAATGACAATTTCAGTGACCTAAAATGACTTATATAGTCTTGATACAATTTAGAGTCACCCCCTGTGGGTTCTCACCACTATAGCCAATCTTATTTTCCTAATGTGCTTTGAAATTTCAAGAGCCGTATCTTCTCTGCAGGGTCTGTATGCCTTGTGGCCCAACAGAGATTATTATTCTTTCCTTCTCCAACATATCTTTGGATACTTTTAGGTTACTATCTGGATTTTTAGGAAGACTAGGAAAACACAATTCAACTTGTGATTAGTTTTTCAGCCCCCTCCAGGATAGTTGAAAACAAATATACATGAGCACAAAAAGAACTAAGGGCAATATGATTGTCTTGCCAGAGGAAATAGTAAAATATCATTATTATATATTCTCAAATTCATGTTAAAAAAAACTACTACTGTCAGCACATATTCTATGATTAAGAGGCAATTTCCATGTCTTTCTATTTAGAGATTTGAGAGTTATAGTAAATAGAGAGTTGCTTGAGAATTCCTCATTTCCTAATCAGCATTTCTTCATTTTCCTATTTCCAGATCAATTAGATAAACACTGAGATACTGATATAATTTATGAGTGGTCTTTCTACCAAGCAAAGAAATTTCCTTATTGTAAGCAAGATCAACTTACTAGATTCCAGTTGGCAGATGGGTAAAATGACATTTTGAGCTCTTGTTCTCCACTCTGTAAACCAACCTTTCTATGAAAATCAGAAAGGGTATTTTCAGAAGTGGGCAGTGAGCAAGTAGAGGCAAAGGCTTGACTTCTCTTGGCTCTGGCCTGCCATACAGGCCAATGCCACCTCTCTTCCAGTGTGGCTCTCCCCAGTGCAGTTTTAAGAACAGAAGACTTCATGATTGTGTTTTGAAAACTCTTCTTGCTAAGGATTGGAGAACCACTGGAAGAAGCATTTCTGGAGGTCCCCACAGGAAGATGAGATGTGGGAGAAAGCTTTATTTGCATGGAATTACATTCCTCACGTTGCGAAGTCCCATTACCCTTAGTCTAGTCCAAGAAGGGAATTCAGCAGAGTTAGAAGCAAAGTGAGAGTCCAGAATTTCCATTCTATGGTGGAGCTGAGTCCAGTGTAGCATGAAGCTAGTCACAGTCCATCAGTCCATTGTGTGGGGTCCACATGTCCCTGAGCCATGTGGGCCAGTGCAGAGGAGCACACCCCCTGCAACAAGAGAGCCAGGAGCCCAGGAGCACAAGAGGGAGGACACTACTTTGCTTGGGAGTTTAAATATTGGAAATATTCTTGTGCTTGCAGTGGCCACACCTACTCTGATCAATGACCTGCTCCCAGGTGTAACTGACAGACAAGTACCTCCCCTCTTTCATATGCATACATCTATTTGGCCTTCCCTTTGTCCCTTCCCTGTTAATCAATAACCAGGTTATTTACAATGGTATCAACGTGACCTCTTACCCAGAATATTTGGGTCTTGTGCCTTCTAATAGAAAAAAATAAGTACAAAAGAAAGATAAATTAACACAAGCTGATATTTATACTGGTCTCTAGATTCCATCTTGAAATATACCTCCATTTTGAATTAAACAAATGCTTCTCTTTCTTTTTCTATATAGATATATCTTCGTATTACCAAAACTGACCAGAAAAGTATATGTGATGTGTTTTTAATAATCCTAGATTATTTGTTTCAGCCTCCCAGTTCTAAACTTTCATATTGAAATGCCAGCAATTAAAAGATAAAATTCTGCCCTGGCTGGTGTGGCTCAGTTACTTGGAGCATCATACACTGAAAGGGTGCAGGTTCAGGTTCAATTCCTGGCCAGGGCATATACCAAGGCTGCAGGCCCAGTCTCTGTTTGGGGAGCATAGGAGAGGCAACCAATCAACTTTCTATTTCTCCCTGCCTCTCTCTAAAATCAATAATCATATCCTTGGGTGAGGACTTTAAAAATTTTCTTAAAGATAAAATTCTATTTTGGCTTAACATTTTTTTTTTTTATTTCTGGCTCACTGAGATGTTAACACTGAGTTAACTTTTAGAGCTGATGGCTTGAGGATGTTTGGGGTGAATTGTTCAGTGCTGCATGAATGTTAGTCTGAATACTTGTTCTAATTTTTCCTTCTTCTCTGTCTGGTTCTATTATACCTCAGAACAATTGGCCATTATAAATGTTGCTTTTGAGTAGATTAAAGTTATAAAACAGAGCTGAGCTGATCAGATTTTGACACTGGCTTTTGAACATTACAATGCTTCCCCACCTTAAAAAAATTTCTCACACAGATATTCCTACCTGTAACCTACAGTTATGCTCCCCAGAGTGTAAAATCATTTTTTTGAAGGAACAGGTTGATTTTCTTTAAAGAACCCAGTCATTAGTTATGCAGTAAAATGAAGTCCCTTTTTGCAAGTGAATAATCAATTATCCTCTTTTAAAATACATTTTTTTAAAGTTGAAATTTATCTTTCTGAGCTTTCTTAAATTATGGGCCTTTTACAGGACATTTCAAATTCCCCTTGCTTGATCAACTCAAAAAATGACTGACTTCTAAACCCAACCCCCAACCCCTGGGAATCAACTCTATTTTTCAAATTTCCAATTTAGCATCTCCTTCAATCACACATTCATTTGTGCTCACCTAAATGATTGGTGTTTGTCAGTAAATTGTGTATTCTTTCTCTCATTCTCCCCCCCACCCCCCACTCCCTTTCTCGCTCTCTCTCCTATGAGTCATTATAATTTCAGTAGAATCACAATAGAGTTCAGAACCTCTCGCCCACACCTCACTGTAAGCTAAAGGAACCAGGAGACAGCTTTCTCTTGTAAATGTCAAGTGTTCAGCATGTCTCCATTGGAGGCTGAATAGAAATGTAACCTTAGAAAAGTTAAATCCCTGGGTCTGGGCAAAGCTTGGAGGACGGGCACACCTCATATAGTGTGCTTTGCTTTATTGCAATTTACAGGTGTTGCATTGCATTTTTGTTTGTTGTTTTTTTACAAATTGAAGTCAAGACCCTCTATCAGCAAAAAGATTACAACTTGCTTTATTGTGTGGGTCTTGAGTCAAACTCCCAGTATATCCAAGGCATGCCTGTATTCTGAGTCCAAAGTTGACTTTTGACTTTGCCTACAAGGTCATATAATTGGTTGTTTTAGCTTCCTCTTTTGTCCAGTTTAACTCTCTGCAGCACCAACTTTGTGTCTAATTTATTCTGACTGAGTAGGAAAATGCACAAGACAAACAATTGGAGATTTTCATGTTGGGAGGGAGGAGTCTAGTGGTCTTCATTCCAAGGCTTCTCGAATGTAGCTTCTCTTAAAAACCCAACAGGTCCCACTCCACATTGTACTTGTTAGCAATTCTGCTTGGTCAACAAAGAGTGTGAGACGGTTGTAGAAAACCTAAGGCTTGTCTTTGGCTATCATTACGCCTTTCCTGAGCAAATCTCAAGCATTGTCCCTTACTAAGTAAAATCCTTACTGAGGTTTGGTAGGAAGGATTCCAACCAGAATAAGCTCAGAAATCTAACCAAAGGTTCTTGTTTGTTGTTTGTTTTGTTTTGTTCTGTTTTTGCTGTTGGGATTATTTTGCTACATTCAAACAGACAGAGAGGAATGCATTTAGACAGATTGGCATGATCTGGGCTGAAGAGTTGACCAAGTAATTAAAGGCAGGAAGACGAAGGAAGGCTAGGAAAAAGGGAGGGGGTGAAATGAAATGTGCACTCTGCATTTCACTCTAGAAAGCAGCTCACAATTATAATTACCCACCTTGCTTTGCAGCTCAGAATAAAAGTGGCCTTGCACCAAACCCCTACCCAGGCAACCGTCGTGATTAAAAAGTACTCCAAACCTTGGAGAACCGAGGAGACATGAGCATAATTTTAAATGCAAATTAAATTGAGGGGGTAGTGGAGAGAACACATAAAAGACAGTAAAACAAAACCTTTCAATTTTCTTAAATTAGCAGCCTAATGTGTTTTAAAGAACAGCTCCACTCAGATCTCTTTTAGGGGTTGCATTTCATCACAATATAAAATGGGCAAATCCATCACCTTGCTCTGCTCAGTGCTCTTGAATTGGGATTGAAGTGAAAATTAGAAGCTGTTCCTTTGGGCTTGCAGGCTCGGCATTGCGCATAGCTTTGCTTTATGCTCGGTGAAGTCCTGTTGAAAGGGGCCAACAAGTGCTGGTGAGTACCTGCTAACTTTAAGACTCTTCTTTTCATACATCTTTTTGGCTTTCCTTTCTTTTGGTGGAGGGTGAGGGGAGATCACAAAAGATCCATGATATAATGCGTCTTTTAAAAGCTGGGAAATTTCAAACAGCTTTTTAAGCGTCTTCCAGTGACTGATTCACAGAAGGCAAGAGAGTTATTTTCAGCCTAGATGCCGATGGCTGATGTTTGAAATTATTATAGCAGGAGAATGTTTAACATGAGCTAGCTAAAAATGACCTGTCCCTATCATCCTAGACAGCATTAGGGTAAGAACTGGTGTCCCTAACAATTGCTAGACAACTTTCTTATCACATTAACTATTTAATCATGTAATTCTGTGTTAATTTCAAGTCAAACTGGGACTTGGAGCTATAAAAATATATTAAACCAAAACCATTTTTTAAATGACTAAGACACTTCTCTGCAAAAGAGATGGGCGGGGACAGGGAGATGCAGAATGGACCCACGTGATGGTTACATATAGATTTTAATGGGGATGGTTTTCTGCCAAAGTTTTACACAGGAAACCGGTCATTTTCTTCTTTCACAATAGAGGATACAAGGAGACGGAGGCTGGCGTCACCTTCTGTTGCTAAGGTAACGTGCTCTGGCCATTTTATTTGATAAAACAAGTCCAGTGGATTGTATACATTATTCATTGCGGTAATAAGCAAACAATCAAAATTGTTTACTTCCACCGGGAATATTTAGTGAGATCAAAGACTCTCTGGCTGAAATTGCTCCTGCTTTTATTGCCGGCAGTTAGCCCTTGATTTTCTTTTTCTTTTTGCAGTAAGTATGATTTGCTGTTGGGGTACCTTTGGGTATTTGTTAAAGTTTCTTCTTACTGGACTAGAAAGAGAAATAGCTGGATTAGCCTTCTGAACTTGATTTTAATGACTCTGTCTTGTTGATTCTTTCCAAAAGCATCCTGCAGAAATAGAGTAGTTCATTTGTGCAAGTGTCAGGGAAAGGCTAATATGCTTGAAGGCACCCACCGGGCTGAGTGTTTTGTAGTGAAGTGTACAGTATTAGCTTCCTGACAGGCTGGTGCAGATAATATTATGGGGATCGTTGTAATTCTGAAATAATTGTCACTGCTCTACAGACCAGAATTCTTCCTTAACAGCAGCCCATGCCAGGGGTTAGCAGGTAATAATGCTGTAGCACTTTGTAAAATGTACCGAGGGAATCGCTATAAAGGAAGGGATTCAAGGCGTTTTACAGCAAACATGCCAGCATGTGCCATAAATGCAAAGCATCTA